TACACGATCATAACCCTCCCCGAACCCAACAACCAGAGTGCTATCCACCACGCAGCCCACACTGCAGTCTCCCTGGTCCCCAAGGGTCCTTCAGCGCTGGTCGTCCCATGGGTTGGGCGGTCATCACTCCATCCATCTCGGGTCTGTTCTAATTTCTCACAACGCTGGCAGGCCTGTTTCCCTCCGAATCCCCCCGGACGGGCGCGCCCTGGGCCGGTGCCGGGGTTAATGCTGGGGGTGGTGATGCGGCACAGACGGCAGCCCATGGCAGACCCGGGGCACCCGTCTGTCCGGCTGGTGGGGACGTTTAGTCTAAACACCGGCCTTGCCAGCTTCCCCCAGGGCCCGGGGCCCCTGGAGAGGAAGTAAGCCATAAACACGACGTTTCCCCAGGAACCATTTCCCACAGGCTTATCAGTGACGGTCCTGGCCTGAGCCCGTCATTAACCCCGTGACTGCAAAATTGGGGCTTTCCGGTTTTATCATTGCCCCTCCATTCAAGAGCCTTTGGCGGGGGTGGGGGGTCAGGGGTCAAGAAACACTGATATACAGATGATGTCGTACAGGGCTGTGCACCTGAAACTGGTGTAAATTTATTAACCAATGTCACCTTTTAAAAAAATACTTAAGTATTGACTCACTGGCGTGGCTCAGGGGCCGAGCGTTGCCCTATGAACCAGGAGGTCACAGTTCAATTCCCGGCCAAGGCACAGGCCTGATTTGAGGACTCAATCCCCAGTGGGAGCCGTGCGCGAGGCAGCCGATCAATGGTTCTCTCTCATCATTGATGTTTCTCTCTCTCTCTCTCTCTCTCTCTCTCTCTCCCTCACCCTCACCCTTCTTCTCTGAAATCAATAAAATATTTTTTTAAATTCTTAAATATGAATATGAATTCATGGATTCTTTTTCCATTCAATTATTCTTTTTGATGCTCCAATGGATCCAAATTCAGCCAGTGAGCCCAGCCCCCTTCGAGCTGGTTCCTGTACTCCTTTTTTTTCGGGGGGGGAGGATTTTTTAAAACGGAAGGCAGCGGGGCCTGGAGGGCCGGACGGCCACCTCCCTCCCTCCTCCCGGGGAGAGGCTGACAGCTGTTCCCAGGGTCTGCTTTGAATTACAACGTGGCGTGGCCCTTTAAGAGCAGCATCCGCGCCCCGCGGCCTGCTGCCCCCTTTGAAGTCGCTGGCGCTGACAGAAATCAAACCTGGGACGCTCCAGTCTGTAGGCCCACGCTCCACCCACTGAGCCACACCGGCCAGGACTGGGGGCGGTATTTTTATATTATTTCAAACTTGGAAGAAAGGCTCCGGAGCAGCCAGGAGCCCCCTCCATGCGCCTCAGACGGACCCGGGCTGCTCACGTGTGCCCCACCCGCTCCGCCGTGTCTGGCTCCACATACGTGTCCTGAACCGTCTGAGGGAACAGACATGTGAGCCGTGGCCAGGAAGCATTTCCGTGTGTTTCCGAAGAGCAAGGCCTGCTCCCATCCAACCTCCAGGCCGCTGCACACGGGAAGCTCGCTTGCGGCCACCCGCACTCCCAGCTGCCCCCCCACCCGCTCCTTCCCGCGCCGTTGCCCCCGGGAAGAGAGTTTTTATGAGTCTGAGTCAAACTCTTACCCCGTGGGGCACAGCACACTCACCATTCACATCAGGGGAGATGCTATCGGGCAACAGATAAAGGGCTAAGGGGTTGCTGGCCTCACGCTCCGGGGGGGCCCTGAGGGCTCCGGGATGGGAAACTGCTCTGACATTTCAGGGGTTTGTTATCTTAGATGCACAGATACCCCAGCAGTAAAGGCCGGTTCGCCCAGGACATTCCTGGCGCCCCCGACCCGGGTTTCCAGGAGAGCCCTCCACCCGCTAGGGGGGCGGGATTTAGAAGCCACTGCCTGGAGCGAGCCGGCTCGAAGCTGCTGGGGTGTCACTGCTCCCCAGGTCCCCGCAGGGGACAGAGCTACCTCCTGAAAGCACCGAATACCTCACCCCCAGCCACGCCTCCTCCTCCTCTGCCCTCATCCCAGATCTCTATTTGCCGAATTGTATGAAATTGTCACTATTCAACCAGTCTTTTTTATATAATATTTTTGATTTCAGAGAGGAAGGGAGAGGGAGAGAGATAAAAACATCAATGATGAAAAAGAATCTTTGATCAGCTGCCTCCTGCACGCCCCCTACTGGGGATCGAGCCCGCAACCCAGGCCTGTGCCCTTGACCGGAATCAAGCCTGGCGCTCTATCCACTGAGCCACACTGGCCTGGGCGAGATCACACTACTGTTAAAGTTGACTTTGAGAGGGAGGCATCCGTGTGAGAGGGAAACATCGATCGGCCGCCTCCCGCACAGGCCCCCGCAGGGAGCGAACCTGAAACCTGGGTCTGTGCCCTGACAGGGGTGGAACCGGCCGCCTGAGGTTGCACTGGATGGACCAGCGACACTCCAACCCACCGGGCCACCCCGGCCGGCCGGGCGGGAGGTCACAGGACTGATCTCACGAAATGAGTGTCCAAGCTGTTACCCCAACCGAGGGCAGAGCCATCACCGCCTGGGACCGAGGCCCCTGCTCAGCACGCGTGTCCTCCTCCGAGGAGTGGACGGCGACGCCCAGGTGGACGCTCGGGCTCAGCACGGTC